TGACCTTTACAAAACAAATCACCATTGCCTCTTTCGCCTGACCTCATACACCTCAGAACTGTACTAATTTGTACACCGCTAGGAACTTTAGCATACCACATTGGTCCTGTCCATTTAAAGTGCCTCCCTGCTACTAGTTCTCTGTCTTTATCTTTCTCCTGAGGTAGAAACTATATATGACAATATGTATATAATTTTAATTTTTATATTATATAAATTTGTTATTTATTTGTTTGTTTTTCTTTATTTATTATTTAAAATATTTTCTTTTTATATATTTGATTTATAATATTTTATGAAATAACAAATTTAAATAATTTAAAAGTCCTTATTAATATATTTTTAATTATTAAATTAAATTCAAATATTGAAAATAAATAGTTATAATTCTTTAAATTTTTTTGTTAAAATTTTAAAAAAATTCTTATTATTTAAAATATTAATACATAATTGTTATTTTTTTTTATAATAAAATATATAATAAATAACAATTATTTATTATATATACTTTTATAATATACAATATATATAGTATATAGATAATATATAAAATATATTTGATGTTTTTTATAATGTCAAACTATAGTTTAACATCTATCTTATCCACATATATCTTAGTATTTTAGAATTTAATACTTTATATATTTCCTATTATAATATTAAAGAATAAACCATATAAGGAATAAAGATTCTATTACTAGTTTTAAACTATCTAATTTATCTAATTTATCTTATTGTTAAAGAAAACTTGATTATAAAATTAATTTAAAAATTTTTTTTTATTTTATTATTTAAATCTTAAATTATAAATCTGTATCAATTTTGAATTTATACAAGTTATGATCTTTCTTACTATTTGCAGTTAATATAATTATTTAAATTTTATATTAAATTAAAATATCTCAGACTAGAGCTTTAACAATTATTAAGAAAATATTAATTAGAATTAATTAAGATAAAATACAATTCAATTTATAAATTCAAATATATTATTGTTTTAATAGTTATTAGGAATTGGTTAAAATGAAATATAGTTTAATCTGTATATTTAAATACAAAAATTCTTTTTCAAACAATTATTATAATACTATTTAAATAATTGTTATTCTATTATATCTTTTTAAAAGATTACAATCTTAATATCTATTGAATTAATATGTGAACTGGCTTCTTATAAAAAACAGTACTTAATATATTTTAATATCAGATACTTATTATTATTATTTGTATATCATTATTATAATATGATTTTAAAATTTTCAGAAATTTTAAAAATTTAATTTTAATATAATGATATATTAAATAACATATTTAATACTAATAAATAATAAAAATCATTATATTTAAAAAAAACTCTTTTTCATTCCCCTTTTTGTGCTTAAAAATTTTCTTTTAAAAAAATTTTTGAATTGTTTATTTTTTTTTTTACTCTTTCTTTTTTTTACTTTTCCTTTCCATGTTCTTTTGTTTTCTTTCTTTATTTTTCTATTCTTTTTTCTATATACTTCTTTTATACTCTATACTCTCTTCTTTATCTTTTTTCTTTTCTTCTACCAAAGTTAGGTTTTCTCTTTTTTTTAAAGATTTTTCTTTTTAGATTTCTTTTTTCTACTATAATATTAATTTTCTGGCCAGTTTATTCTCTTTTTCAAAAATTATATTAAGAAGTAATAATTTTTTTTCAATATGTGAGCTTTAGAAAATTTTTTCTTTTCATGACTTCCAAGAAAAAAGATGAATAGTTTACCCTTTCCAAAAGATTGACATGACTATAATTACTCTATTTGTTATTATTTACTTACTAATGACTACACTAGATATATTTAAAAATCAATGCACAATTAGGGCTCCTAACAATATCACTTTGATACTACTTTGATACTTAAATTTACTATAAAAACATATGAGTAAATTACAATCCATATATTAATTTTACTATAGATTAGTACCATTTCGATATTATTTCGATATCAGTTTGATATCAGTTCAGTACTTTTTGGAGCCCTATGTATAACTATTGTTACTTGAATTCTCAAGAAGTTATGTCTTGCAATATTCTGATGAAATAGTAGCCAATATCAATATAGAAACTGCAAAGCCTACCAGTAGAAACTAAAAGGCCTTTGGATAGAAACTAAGAAGTCTACAAGTAAAAGGTTTGACTATTTATAGAAACTGAAAAGCCTATTTAAAAAAACTGAAAAGTTTACAGATAAAAAACTGAAAGGCTTGCAGGTGCTATATTGATGGTTGAAAATCTAGTAAAGTAATACATAATAATCAGGGATTCTAGTTACTCTGCAAGCAGAGCTGATAATAACAATACAAGTTTTTTGATTACTTCTCATCAATATAGGTCCATGTGCTAAATCAGATACAAATATCTATAAGAATATTCAATACACTCTATTCATTAAACACTTCTGCTACACTTGAAAAATAGATATATCAAATCTTCTTTATAACTTGAAGGCCAATCTGTATAAAATAGCTACAGCACCTTTATGCATAAAGGTATTTAATCTCTTTTTATACTTTTACTACCTCTGATCTGAATATAACACAAATTATTCTAGACCTCTGCTAGATACTATTCAAGATTTAGTATAGAGCTTTAATATTTTTTTTCTCTATTGCTTGAATAATTAATAAGTAAGCAAGCTAATATTAAACTTGGTGACCAATGGTCATAAAAGATGTTACTTTCTTCATGTAATAATTTTTCAAATTTTACAATTTAATAAAGTAACAAGGTTTTTCTACTAAAAAAAAAAAAAAATTATTATATTTATTTTAATAAAAAATTTTTTTTTGTATTCAAATATGAAACAACTTTCAGAATTCCAAAATAATACAATTATTTATAGATATCAATTGGAATACTCATGTCAAATTCAATAAATTGCAATACATCAACTATATCAACACTTATAAAGAAATATCAAGTTACTGGATCTATAGATATAAAAAAAGTTTCAGATGATGAATTTAATGTGCCAAATTGTATTGATATAAAGAAATTTAACTATTTCAAAATATAAAAATGAAATAAATAATAACAAATATAAAACAAATGACAATATAAAGGCACCATTGCTTTAATTTTTATAATTCGAAGTAATTAGCAATTATCTGACTTACAGTATGTTACCAATTACTATTTAACAATTTAAAATCTCTATAAATATAGAGCATATTTTTATGTTTAATTATAATAAAAAAGCCGAATAAAATCGGAAAAGTCATTTAAAATGATTTTTAGTGAAACCAAGTATCAGATATAGTGTCACTTATATTTTATATATTTAAATCTAATAAACGTCGAATTTCATGTATAAAACATAATATACATTGGTAGTTCGAACTAAGTTTGCTTGCCTACTTTCAAGAATGCACCACCACCAAAGTATCTATCATTTGCTTCCCTCGCTTTCTTTTGAGCCTCATCAGGATTAATTAATTCAATTCCTTGTACAGGGGTAAATGCCAAAGAAGAAGATAAGCCGGAGGTAGCACCAGAAGAACCCATAAATTGATGCCTTTTGGGTGCCTTAGCTGAACAAATCAAAGTTTTATTATTATAAATGAAAAGCAATTAAAATTCATAGTAATAAAAAAGTCAAAAACGAACCTTTAACTCTTGGATCAGCAACGGCGGCACGAATTTTTCCTGAGCTTTGTCCAATTAAGCCGAGTCCCTTAGTTTTATCAAACGATCCCGTTTCATCTTCAGCCACACCAAATGCCATTCTGTTTTGCGCCTTGCGAAGCTCTGTGACAGCATACGCTTCTTTCATCCTCCGTACTCTAAAATGTTAAATAAATGATATTTAATAAAAATTTTGAACATTTAAGTCTCAAAAATAAAAATTACTTTTTTCCCGCTCTTCTCTTCTTCGGCCCCTCATCAGGAACGGGCAAAGGCTTGACTGTTTTCGTTGGGGGCGGTTCTTGCAATTTTTCTAATTTCTTGTCAATTTGTTCTCTCAATGTTCTACCAAATGAACCTATATAAATTGTTTATTAAACATTTATAATAATAATAGAAAAAAAACTTTTGATATAAAATGTACAACGAACCATCGGGAGACTCATGAGTACGATCCATCCTAGCTGCCAATGTACATCTAAAAGATTTGGAAGAAAGAATAAGTTCTAATATTATGTATTATAGATAAATTAGGTTAATACATACTTTGCTGCAACAATTTTTTGTGCCTTTATTCTAAGATCTGGCGGAGTTCGCTGAATCAAATCTGATTGGAACAAGTAACCCGTGTGTCTTGGTGTCGTCACGTTGGAAAACCCAGTACTCAACTTTTTTTGAAAGCCAATTAACTAAACAAAAGATGGTATGTTATTTTCCAATCATATATAATGCTGTTTAAAATTTATTATTTGTATATGCGTACCATCACATTACAAGCCGGCATTTTGCAAAGAGCCGATAATCCACCGGCTTGTCCCAATAATTTTGCTGCAGTAGTACTGCCGACAATGGCCGAAAGATTGGGTGCAATAAGTGTCATTCTAGATTCCACGTATTCTAAAATCTATTTTTGTTGGACAGTTACACATTAATATAAAACAAATCAAAAATACTAAAAAATATATTGAATATTTACCGTTCGCTTGGCGGCATCTAATTCTAGGGCCATATCACATGCATCACTTACGATTTTACTTTCTTCCTCCGTCAATGATTGACCGTTAGTAGTAGATCCCGTTACCGTTACAACCATGACGGTTGCCGATGGAAGTATGGACCTCAAATCGATTTTGGTCAAATCCTGTATTATGATGGAAAAGTATCCGAGGAATGGACGGGCCACACGGTGAGGTTGGTGTCTATTTAAAAAATGAGAAATCATAATTCCTTGATGGTTTATAATGTATAACTGCTTATAAAATATTAAAAATGCTAACCATTTCATTTCCTATAGCTTTAACAGCCCTTGTATAATCTAATGGATTGAGCACTAAGGACTCAAGTTCCGGAAACTTTTTCGCGTAATGATCTCGTATAAACTGTTTTAAAAAAACCAATCAATAAGTATAGAAGTTGAGACTTCACTTATTAAAAAGAAGCGTACCTTATGAACAACAAGAATTTCACTATCAATATCTACGGTCAAATTATTCGCCTGCACAATAAGTTTATATTCGGGGTCTTCCTCAACAGGTCCCAATATTTGGTTATGATCTCTTCTTGTATTTTTCAATTGTTCCATTTTCTGTTGAAAAATGTAAAACATGTTTATCTAAATCTTCACTTATCAAATCGTAAATATATAAACTTACAGTCAGCACATCTTTCATTTGTCTCGATCCAAGTAGTTTTGCGACTTTTCTTACGTCCATGACGTTTGTCATTTCAGCTTGAAATTGCTGCTTTCCTGCCTCTTCTTCGTCTTCCATGTACTCTTCTTCCGTTTCTTCTAGATCTCTCATTCTAACGTCACCTAATTCATCGTTCTCTTCTTCGGCACCCTCATCACGAGAGTCCGCGAAATCCAAGTCTGCAAGTAATTCGTCTGCCAAAGACATTTTGTTCGAGTTGAATTGGCTGAACTTTGTGTATATAAATTTTTTCCATATTTACGTACTTGTTTTTATCATGTGACGATTTAAATCATGTGATAAATTAAAAAACTTTTTTAATCGTTTATTGAACCAGTACTATATAAATCTATTAACCTAACTTACCAATTAACAGCACAAGTTTCTAGATGTAGTTTATGGAAATAATGTTATTCACTTATTGAACAGAATTAAAATTCAAAGATTTTTTTTTTATAAGCACTATTTGAATTGTCTTTTTATTGTGTTTAACTAGCTGGGCCTTTTTTTTTTTTTTTTGTTAAGGTGAGACGTGTCTCATAATCTTTATTAATGTTGTAATTTTTATTATTACATAATTAATTTTTAAGATATGAGATATATGGACAAATGTACATATTAGTTTACCACCTATTGTAGTAGATATATTTCTAAATAAAAAATCCTTAAGCAGGGAAAAGTAAGAAAGGAACTATCTACAATATTTATATATATAAAGAGAGGGGCAAGATCGCCTTGAGTAAAA